ATGGACTCAAATCCCCCCCCCCCTCTTCCCAGCTCACTGGCCCCTACCTCTCTGAGAAATGATTGGGTGAAACACTAGATTTTAACGTTTAGTAATAAATAATACCTCAGACTAAAGTTAGGATAATATAATTGACATTTCTGGATTCCTTGCAGGTCAGGGAATATTTTGAATGTAAACTTCATATATTTTGCACAAAAGATAAAATACTTGCTTTGTGTAAACCAAATTATTACATTAGATCTAAAATTTGTATGTCTAATGCAAAATCCATGATGTTTATATTCAAAATGATCATCATATTGTAAGAATTCCAGCAATGTAAATTATATTCTGGTCCAGTAATTTGTATGAATTTTATGAGCTAAAACAAATATCTTCAGTTAATAAAAAAAAAAAAAAAAAATTATTCTTCACGACACTATCTGTCAATCAAAGTACCCCAACTTGCCTCCTTCCCCCTCTTCCAACCCTCCCCCCCACCCCCCACCTTCCCTCCCTACCAGAGAAATGTTGGGTAAAAACACTAGATTTTAACTTTTAGTAATAAATAATACCTCAGACTAAAGTTAGGATAATATAATTGACATTTTGCACAAAAGATAAAATATTTGCTTTGTGTAAACCAAATTATTACATTAGATCTAAAATTTGTATGTCTAATGCAAAATCCATGATGTTTATGTTCAAAATGTTCATCATATTGTAAGAATTCCAGCAATGTAAATTATATTCTGGCCGGGTAATTTGTATGAATTTTATGAGCTAAATAAAAAAAATAAAAAAATTATACTTCAGGCGTATATGAGTAGATGCACCGCGGAAAGTGAAAGTCCGGTTCTGGCAAGGTACCGCGTAAATGAGAAATCGCGGAAAGTGAAACCGTGTAAAGCGGGGTAATACTGTACTACAAAAAACAATGTTTTGTTTATTCTAGATGGGCTGAGGTGCATCTGGGTAGACTCTCAGTCTTTATAGTATTTTATGTTTCTCTCAAGTACCAAACTAAATTATTCCATTGAAACAACACTTCGATTTAGTGCGAATTCAGTTTAAAGTGACCTCTCTTGGAACGTATCTCGTGTTATATCGACGTATTATTGTACCCAGAAAATTCCTGGGATGAGACGGAAAGGCCAAGCAATTGTGGGTCATCATTCATTGTTTTTAGAAGGTGATACTACAATTTCTTGGCCTGATATTTGCCCAGAATTTATCTCTGAAATAGATGAAATCTGGGCTAATACAGTATTGAAAGACTTAACATTCATTCCCGCAGATAGGAATACACCTGTACTCACAAGTTTAGTTTTTAGAAGTTCCAATTTAATTACAAAAAGAGTACCTTATATGAACTTTCCCAGTATTTGTCAGCCCCAAAATATGCTGACATAAGTTATGAAATAAATTTGAAACCAGTTACTTCTGCACTGTTTGCTTGAAGAGTTCAAATTTACTAAGTTTGTGCTGGACTATGAGGACAGTTCAGAAGTAGACAGATGTTTTGCTGCTGCTATACAAGGGATTCCATATTCCCTGTACAACTCATTTTTGGAAATGTTGTTGAAAGCCCTAAAACTAAAAGCCCAGCTAAGGAAGCAAGTCACAAATAATGCTTCAAGTGGTAGTGCTTATCCATTGCTACGTTCTTCCCCTCTTTCTCCTGCTTTGTTTGATGAACAAACATTGGTTAAATATAGATCAGCTGTTGAGCAAGCTATTAATATTACTGTTCCCAGGAGTCCTCAGACCTTTTGGAGATCTGAAAAAGGAAGGTTTTACAGTGGAACAGGACCAGCTGATAGGTTCAGTTATCAACCTAGAGGAAACTTTAGAGGAGGAAACAATCCAAGATGTAGTAAGGGTGGCTGTTTGTTCAGAAGTGGAAGGAGACCTTATTCCACCACAACAGTGACCACTCCCTTCCAATGAAGCCAGACAGTTGGGTCGTCTAGGGGGTTGGGAAAACAGGTGGACTTCTTCCTTATGGGCTTACAAACAATCAAAGGGGACCTCACATGGACTAGGTTGAGGCGCCCTCCCCTAGTGTTACCAAAAAGGGGGTTAAAGCCAACCCCCTTACTCACAGAATTTGTAATTCAACTGTTAAACAGAGGTGCGATACAAATGTTGCAGTCAGAGAAGTGTTTCATGTCTTGCCTGTTCCCAGTCCCCAAAAAAGGCAGCGACAAATTGAGGTGGATTTTAGATCTTTCCGTCCTGAACAAGTTCATTACCAAAAGAAGTTTCAAGATGCTCACTTACAATCATCTGAGGCATCTACTTCTGCCCAATGCTTGGATCTCAAAAGTGGATCTCGAAGATGCCTATTATCATGTGCCTGTTACTCCCAGGTACAAAAAGTTTCTAGTGTTCGCAGTGGGATATGTAAGTTATCAATTCACAGTGATGCCATTCAGTCTGATAATTGCGCCAAAAGTGTTTACAAAACTGGCAAACATCCCCAGGGAGATCCTTGCGAAGGAGGGCATAAGAACTTTTGCTTATCTAGACGATTGGCTGATAGAGGGAAACTCTTTCGAAGGGCGACCCAACGTACACTAGTACTAATTCAAAACCTTGGTTTAAGATAAACCAGGTCAAATCAAATTTAATACCATGTCAAAAGTTGGATTGGTTAGGTCTCCAATGGGATACAAATCAGCAGTCAGTCAGTTTACCAGGAACAAAAATAACATGTGATAAACCAAGTACAGTGATTTCTGCTATAACGCGTGTTTTGATAACGCGAATTTGCTCTAACGCGATTTATGAATTAGGAACGATATTTGTATAACGCGAACGCTTGTTTGCTATAACGCGATTTTTGCTTACTATTTCTCCAATTTTGTGAATATAGTAAAGAAGAATATCAACAAGAAGCGTTCCGGTGATAAAATTCCTGGTGATGATCGTAAAAGAAAGGATATAACACTAGAAGAGAAGCTCGATTTTATCAACCTCAAAATCACCCTTCTCCCCCATCAAGTAAAGTGTTACATTTACTGTATGATTTCATTATTAGATATGAATATAACATTTATTTAGACCGTGCTATCCTTTGTGTTAGGCTAACTACTAAATTTTTTCGATTTCGAGTAATCTGCACCTAACCCTATTTTCTCCATAAGCCCTGTTATTTCTATTACGCGATTTTCTATAACACGATATTTTACAAGAACACAATTATCGCGTTATAGCAGAACTACCTGTAGAAGCCTTTTGTGTAAAGCAAGAGGTTTCTTGGCACAATTTGCAAAAACTTCTGGGTCTGTTGAATTTTGCCACCATGGTAGTTCCTTTGGGCTCATTAAGGAAGAAGCAACTAACTCCTCTGGGGTCGAAGTTGCTTCACAAAAACAAAAATATTGCTTCTTCTCTCCCTATTCAGATGAAGAATCATTTGTCATGGTGGACAAATTTAGACAATCTAATCTGTTCATCTCCCTGGGTTCCCCCTCAAATAGACTTGGTCGTTTGTACGGACGCGTCCAAGATAGAATGGGGATACCATTCATCAAAAGGAGAGTTCCGTCAAGGGAAGTGGAGCAAATCCCTTTGGGCCAAACACAAACATAAAAAAATTTGCAGTAGTCATATTCTTTTTGTTGGCAAACCCAAATTTCAAAAATGACAATTCTCTTTGCCATGGACAACAGAGCGGCAGTGTTTTGTCTCAATCATCAAGGTTCAACCAGATCTTGGCCCCTTCTAAAACTGTCAGAAGTTTTTTTCAAAGTTTGTGTCACACAAACACTTTACCTCATAGAAACTCATATACCGGGTGTACAAAACAATTGGGCAGATGCGTTGTCCCGTCTCAGGCCAGTATCGATGGAAACAGAATGGTCTCTAAAGGTATCAGAATTCAAGAGTCTAGTGAGGAAGTTTGGAACTCCAAAAATAGATCTCTCTGCCTCACAAAACAATCACAAGATGCCACTTTATGCATCTCTGGAATGATTGAATCCTTTAGGTAATGCTCTACTCATAGATTGGAACAGTTGGAATTCAGTCTATCTGTTCCCACCTGTAAAAATGTTGCCCAAAGTGGTTCACAAACTCAGATCCTTCCAAGGCAAGGTCCTCTTAATTGCACCATATAGGATCCTACAACTGTGGTGTCTGGATCTGTTGGACTGGTGCCTGCATCCACTACAATTGCAACAAGGATATCTAGACCAGGTACTGCACCCTCAATTCGAGATATCCTTGGCACTTAACGCTTGGAGTTTCTCAAAAGATGTTTAAATAGGTTGTTGGGTAATTCCAATATAGTTAACCAAGTGATAGCAGGTCATAGACCCCAAACTTCTATGCAATATGAGAAGCTTGGAAACTTTTTCAACAATTTATCAGGTTAACGACTCCAATCACATTGTCGGAAACAGCAATGTTAGAATTTTTAGAATTTCTGTTCAGAGTTAAAGGCCTTCAAGGATCTACAATTGCATCTTATAAATCAGCATTGGTTGACCCTCTGGTTCTAATATTACTTTGAACCCAAGAATTTATCAAATGCTCAGATCATCCTTTTTCATTCATAGATATTTTTTACCATTCTGAATTGATTTCTGCAATATTTTTTTTTTTTTTTTGGGGGGGCTGGCACTGTCATGTCATTCAATTATAATATCTTGCAACGACATACAGGTTAATACCTTGAGCATGTGGTTGTCATCGTGGTGAAGGGGTTAATGCAGGTTAATTTTTGACGACATACTCTTCCTTCTCTGAATCCAGTATGCTCTTCCTCAAATACATTTTCTCTTTTTACAGCAATTTCTCAATACTGTAATAACTATTACAATACAGTACTGCATTCATTTTCCTTTGTATAATTTTGGTTCACTCTTATCATCTTTCCTTGTCATATGATTGAAAATGTGACTTTTCATTTTTTTAGCATTACTGTTTTTTTCAGAAGCCATTTACTATCAGTCATATCATGAACAAAGCTGGAAAACTTTCTTTGAATAGAATTTAAATTTGTATTACAGGAATTGGAATAGCATTATGTGGGGCAGTGAAGGGTTACCGGTGCATCATCGTGATGCCTGAGAAGATGAGCAACGAGAAGGTCTATGTTCTTAGAGCTCTTGGAGCAGAGATTGTGCGTACGCCGACATCTGCATCATGGGATTCCCCTGAGTCTCATATCTCAGTGGCAAAGAGACTAGAGAAGGAGATTCCTGGAGCAATCATCCTTGATCAGGTAATTTTTCATATGTATATATATATATATATATATATATATATATATATATATATATATATATATATATATATATATATATATATATATATATATATATATATATATATATATATATATATATATATATATATATATATATATATATATATATATATATATATATATATATAAATAACCTCACTTTACGCGGTTAATGTAACCCACAGGGTACCGCGGAAAGTGAGAAACGCGTAAAGTGAATAACATAACATATGGGATTAAATGAAATAGAGACCAGCTGACCCCCAAACTCCACTTTTTCCAACACAATACCTATGTTCTAGTAAAAATAACATCTTAATTTTATGATGGTACATGCACACAATTAATACTTAAGAGAAATAGAGAAATACAGTCGCCAAGTTAATGTCCATTCAAATAATGGACTCAACTCCCTCCCCCTCTTCTCACACTACACTCGCTGGCTCTTCCCTCTGAGAAATTTTGGGGGAAAACCAGGTATAGTAATAAATAATACCTCAAACTAAAGTTAGGATAATATAATTGACATTGCTGGATTCCTTGTAAGACCAGGAATATTTTGAATATAAATGTCATATATTTTGCACAAAAGATAACATAGTTAATTTGAGAAAAAATTTTATCTAAAATTTGTATGTCTAATGCAAAATATATGATGTTTATATTCAAAATGATCATCAAATTATAAGAATTCCAGCAATGTAAATTATATTCAGACCGGGTAATTTGTATGAATTTTATGAGCTAAAACAAATATCTTCAGTTAATAAAAAAAAAAATATTCTTCACGACACTATCTGTCAATCAAAGTACCCCACCTTGCCTCCCCCCCTCTTCCAAGCGCCAGATGGTCAGTCCGTCCCAACCCTCCCTTCAAGAGAAAGAGTGGGTGAAAAAACTAGATTTAAACATTTAGTATTAAATAATACCTCAGATTAAAGTTAGGATAATATAATTGACATTGCTGGATTCCTTGTAAGACCAGGAATATTTTGAATACAAATGTCATATATTTTGGACAAAAAATAACATATTTACTCAGAGTAAACATTATATCTAAAAATTTTATGTCTAATGCAAAATATATGATGTTTATATTCAAAATGATCATCAAATTGTAAGAATTCCAGCAATGTAAATTATATTCTGGCCGGGTAATTTGTAATAAATTTTATGAGCTAAAAAAAAATCTTCAGTTAATAAAAAAAAAATATTCTTCACACGGTAACAGATGGTCGGTCACCGGTCCCTCCCTCCCCCCCACCCCCCACCAACGTCCCTACTAGATAAATGTGTGGGAATACCAGACTGTTTACCTTTTTAGTAATAAATAATAAATCAGACTAAAGTTAGGATAATATAATTGACATTGCTGGATTCCTTGTAAGACCAGGAATATTTTGAATATAAATGTCATATATTTTGCACAAAAGATAACATATTTGCTCAGAATAAACATTATATCTAAAATTTTTATGTCTAATGCAAAATCTATGATGTTTATATTCAAAATGATCATCAAATTGTAAGAATTCCAACAATGTAAATTATATTCTGGCCGGATAATTTGTATGAATTTTATGAGCTAAATAAAAAAATTATACTTCACCCGTGTAAAGGGGTACACCCACCGCGGAATGTGAGCATCCTGAGTTTTGGCAGGGCACCCGTGCGTGGAAAGCGGAATGGGACCGCGTAAGAAAGAGGTTGACTGTATATATATATATATATATATATATATATATATATATATATATATATATATATATATATATATATATATATATATATATATATATATATATATATATATATACACAGTCAACCCTCACTTTCTGTGATCTGTGGGGAGGAGAAGAATATATATAAGTAGGAAGTATAGAGTAGGAAGTATAGAGAGTAGAAATGTAAAGATAGGAAACTTGGTAGCGTGGCCTGGATGTTGTTACTCAGCATCACGCTTATCTTATCTCGTATGTCAATACACATATATCACTTCTTAAAGGGACAACTTGTTAAACACCTCTTGATACAACTATTTATTAATTCACTCAATGACATGGACACATTAATATCACTATTATATCGGGTACTAACACATTATGCTTTCGTTACTTGACACTGACTCTCGGACACACCTGAATGAATACACTTCCCAGTAGGTAACTCAACCTAGGACGTTCTGACAAGACTCCTTGTACCTGGCGTAGGCCAGTGAGTGCTGGCTGGGCTGCCTCCTATGGGAGAATCTGCTTAGCTGGCGATGCGTGGTCTGGTCGGAGGTCTCCCTCCCGACCTGGGAGGGCGGCGTGACTCTGCTTAGTGAACCGAGTGACGACTTGAGCAGAGAGATGATAGCAACCAGAATGAGAATCAGTATGACCAGAACGATAATGATAATCGTAATGCCCGTGGAGCGGGACTGTAGGGCCTTTATATGAGTGGGCCCAGCCTCTAACAATTAACACTAAACTGGTTTGATCTGGATAGCTGTGTGCAGGTGTGGTCCTGCCCAGGTGTCTTGGTTAGATGCAGTTGTAGGTCACCGGCTCACGCCATTAGCGAGGCGAGGTCAAGTCCTTAGTGGACGACCTGAGGTGTGTCAACCCGAATGGTGGTACCCCGAGGTCTGTGGTGTACCTGCTGTTATATCGGCATAATTCTGGAGCTGTAAGGTTGGTCTGACAATCAATCATTACAGAGGGGTTGACTGTATATATATATATATATATATATATATATATATATATATATATATATATATATATATATATATATATATATATATATATATATATTCCCACATTCCGCTTTCCCACGTTCGTGGTGCCCTGCCTGCCAGAACCCAGGATGCTCACATTCCATGGTGGGTGTACCCTTTACGGGTGAAGTATAATTTTTTATTTAGCTCATAAAATTCTACAAATTATCAGCCAGAATATATTACATTTACTGGAATTCCTACAATTTGATGATCATTTTGAATATAAACATCATAGATTTTGCATTAGACATACAAATTTTAGATATAATGTTTACTCTTGAGTAAATATGTTATCATTTGTGCAAAATATATGATATTTATATTCAAAATATTCCTGGTCTTACAAGGAATCCAGCAATGTCAATTATATTATCCTAACTTTAGTCTGCTCTATTATTTATTACTAAAAGTTAAACAGTCTGGTATTCCCACATTTATCTAGTAGGGACATTGGGGTGGGGGAGGGAGGGACCGGCGACCAACCATCTGTTACCCGTGTGAAGAATTTTTTTTTATTAACTGAAGATTTTTATTTTAGCTCATAAAATTCATACAAATTACCCGGCCAGAATATAATTTACATTGCTGAATTCTTACAATTTGATGATCATTTTGAATACAAACATCATATATTTTGCATTATACATAAAATTTTTAGATATAATGTTCACTCTGAGTAAGTATGTTATCTTTTGTGCAAAATATATGACGTTTATATTCAAAATATTCCTGGTCTTACAAAGGAATCCAGCAATGTCAATTATATTATCCTAACAATCTGAGGTATTATTTAATACTAAATGTTAAAAACTAGTTTTTCCCACTTTTCTCTTGAAGGAGGGTTGGTGGGAGGTGGGGGAGGTTTGGGACGGACTGACCATCTGGCGCTTGGAAGAGGAGGCAAGGTGGGGTACTTTGATTGACAGATAGTGTAAATGAAGAATATTTTTTATTATTAACTGAAGATATTTGTTTTAGCTCATAAAATTCATACAAATTACCCGCCCAGAATATAATTTACATTGCTGGAATTCTTACAATTTGATGATCATTTTGAATATAAACATCATAGATTTTGCATTAGACATACAATTTTAGATGTAATGTTTAATCTGGTAAGTATGTTATCTTTTTTGCAAAATATATGACATTTATATTCTATTCCTAGTCTTCAAGGAATCCAGCAATGTCAATTATATTATCCTAACTTTAGTTTGAGGTATTATTTATTACTATACCTGGTTTCCCCCAAAATTTCTCAGAGAGGGAAGAGCCAGCAGTGTAGTGTGAGAAGAGGGGGGAGTTGTGTCCATTATTTGAATGGACATCAACTTAACAACTATATTTCTCTTAAGTATTAATTGTGTGCATGTACCATCATAAATTAAGATGTTATTTTTACTAGAACATGGTATTGTGTTGGAAAAAGTGGAGTTTGGGGGTCAGCTGGTCTCTATTTCATTTAATCCCATATGTTATGTTATTCACTTTACGCATTTCTCACTTTCCGTGGTACCCTGTGGGTTACATTAACAGGTAAAGTGAGGTTGACATAATATATATATATATATATATATATATATATATATATATATATATATATATATATATATATATATATATATATATATATATATATATATATATATATATATATATATATATATATATATATATATATATATATATATATATATATATATATATATATATATATATATATATATATATACATCCACACACCCCGATTTACGCTTTACACGGTCAATTGAACCCGAGAATCCGTGTAAAAGAAAACGTGTAAATGGAATAACAGAACTGTAGGATTAATTGAAAAGATGACTGTGACTCCCAAAATCCACTTTTCCGACACAATACCGACACAATACCTATGTTGTAGTAAAAATAACATGGTAATTATGATGGTATCCACAATTAATATTTAAAATACAGTGCCATTCAAATAATGGACTCAACTCTTCCCAGTTGGTTCCTCCTCTCTGTGAAATGTTTGGGTGAAAACACTAGATTTTAAGGTATAGTAATAAATAATACCTCAGACTAAAGTTGAGATAATACAATTGACATTGCTGGATCCCTTGCAAGACCAGGAATATTGAATATACAGTGAACCCTCATTTCTGCGGTCAATTGACCCCACGGCAGCCCGCGTAAGTGAACAACATAACATGGGATTAATTGAAATAGAGACCGGGCCGACCCCAAACTCCACTTTTTCCGGCCAGTACCTATGTTCTAGTAAAAATAACATCTTAATTTTATGATGGTACACACACACAATTAATATTTAAGAGAAATAGAGAAATACAGTCTCAAGTTAATGTCCATTCAAATAATGGACTCAACTCCCTACCCCTCTTCTCTCACACTTGCTGGCTCTTCCCTCTCTGAGAAATGATTGGGGAAAACACTAGATTTTTAAGGTATAGTAATAAATAATACCTCAAACTAAAGTTAGGATAATATAATTGACATTGCTGGATTCCTTGCAAGACCAGGAATATTTTGAATATACCGTCATATATTTTTGCACAAAGATAACATATTTGCTCTGTAGTAAACAAATTCTTACATTAGATCTAAAATTTGTATGTCTAATAAAATCCATGATTATATTCAAAATGATGATCATATTGTAAGTCAGCAATGTAAAATTATTCTGGCCGGAATAATTTGAATGAATTTTATGAGCTAAATAAAAAAATTATATACTTAACCCGCGTATATGAGTAGATGCACGCGTAAAGTAGGAATTAGGGTTCTGGCAGGTTACAGTAAAAGGTAAAGCACGTAGCGAGAATCGCTAAAAAGCGGAAATTACTCTGTATATATATATATATATATATATATATATATATATATATATATATATATATATATATATATATATATATATATATATATATATATATATATATATATATATATATATATATATATATATATATATATATATATATACACACACACACATATATACCCGCGCCTAGCAGTTTCACTTAGCGTTTTATCATACTCTGTGATTGCCTGCGAAATCTGAACTTTCATAACACGGATTTTCCTATCACGCGGTGAGTGTCGGCTCAGGCAGCTATTTTAGATTTCCCACGCCACGCCTGACTGCCTGTTTTAGCTCATAAAATTCATACAAATTACCAGCCAGAATATAATTTACATTGCTGGAATTCTTAATAATTTGGTGATCATTTTGAATATAAACAGCATATATTTTCATTAAACATACAATTTTTAGATAAAAATTTTTCTCTAGGTAACTATGTTATCTTTTGTGCAAAATATATGACATTTATATTCAAAATATTCCTAGTCTTACAAGAATCAGCAATGTCAATTATATTATCTAACTTTAGTTTGAGGTATTATTTATTAAAATTTAGTGGTTATCCACATCTCCTTGGGACGATTGGTGGGGGAGGAGAGGACGACCGACCATCTGTTACCCGTGAAGAATTTTTTTTATTAACTGTAGATATTTGTTTTAGCTCATAAAATTCATACAAATTACCGGTCAGAATATAATTTCCATTGCTGGAATTCTTATAATTTGGTGATCATTTTGAATATAAACATCATATATTTTGCATTAAACATACAATTTTTAGATAAAAATTTTTCTCTAGAGTAACTATGTTATCTTTTTGTGCAAAATATATGACATTTATATTCAAATATTCCTAGTCTTCAAGAATCCAGCAATGTCAATTATATTATCCTAACTTTAATCTGAGGTATTATTTAATACTAAATGTTAAAAACTCTGGAAGGGAGGATTGGTGGGGGGTGGGGGAGGTTGGGACTGACCGCACGGTTGGAAGGGGGAGGCAAGGTGGGAGTACTTTGATTGACAGATAGTGTAAATTGAATTATTTTTTATTAACTGAATATTTGTTTGAGCTCATAAAATTCATACAAATTACCGGTCAGAATATAATTTACATTGCTGGAATTCTTATAATTTGGTGATCATTTGAATATAAACATCATATATTTTGCATTAAACATACAATTTTAGATAAAAATTTTTCTCTAGGTAACTATGTTATCTTTGTGCAAAATATATGACATTTATATTCAAAATATTCCTGGTCTTACAAGGAATCCAGCAATGTCAATTGTATTATCTAACTAGTTTGAGGTATTATTTATTAAATTTAGTGGTTTTCCCCCAACATTTCTCTGAAGGGAAGAGCCAGGAGTGTGAAGAGGGGAGGGAGTTGAGTCCATTATTTGAATGGACATTAACTTAGCGACTGTATTTCTCTATTTCTCTTAAGTATTAATTGTGTGCATGTACCATCATAAATTAAGATGTTATTTTTACTACAACATAGGTATGTGCCTTCAAAAAGTGGAGTTTGAATTCGGGCGGTTTCTATTGGAATTAATCCCATATGTTCTGTTATTCACTTAGGACCCTCTGGGTTCAATTGACGCGTTAAGTGAAATTCTACATATATATATATATATATATATATATATATATATATATATATATATATATATATATATAATAAAATATATATATATATATATATATATATATATATATATATATATATATATATATATATATATATATATATATATATATATATATATATATATATATATATATATATATATATATATATATATATATATTTCATGTAGATCAACAATGAAAACGTGGATAAGATAAATCTTGATAAAATCACGGGGAAAGGAAACAACGGGCACCTTAGCTTTAGTCTTATTCAAGACATCTTCAGAGGCAACTGGATTACATGGACAGAGGGCTTAAATATACAGGGTGACCTTATTAAACATGAGGTCAGGTCAAAATCATGACATCCATTAATCCGCACCAACACTCACCAGAGGAGCTTAAGAGAGGCGGCGTGACTAGTCAAGTTAAGTCAGGTAAAAATATGGGACCCACTAAATAACTATCCTACATCTAGCTCAAGGTTTTCAAAGCATTTTTAACCTTGGGCCACTGACAAATAAATTTATGTAACATATTATCAGTTTTGTACTGACCATCACTAAGGTTTATTGATTTTAATTCTTGATCAAACCTTCAACCAGAAGTCTTTCAGGCGCAAGATGATTTGAATAATTCCAAGCTTTTTCCCAAGCAATGGGATGATTATTATTCTAACATGAACGAACAGTGCACTGCTTTCAGATGCTGTTCTGATATTGTACTTGTGCTGTTTGATTCTGAGCTGCAATGCTTTCCCAGTCTGCCCTACATAATTTCCATTACATTTGCTACATGGAATAAAATAAACACTTCTATTTGCATTCAAAAGTTGGGCTGTTCTTGATTAATATATTGGTAATGGTTGAGTCATACTTAAAAAGAATATAAATATTTAATAATTTAAGGGATTGAACTAACTGGACAAATTCATTGCGATAGGAAGTCAAAATATTCTTAAGTATAGGATTTTGCCTGGTTTGAGTAGAATGAAAGGATTTTTAGCCCTTTTAAAACAACGATCAACAAACAATGAAGGGTATCAAGTTTTTGTGCAATGGAATAAATGTGTTTCAATTCATTGTCAATAAATTCAGAGTCACAAATCGCCAGACATCTTAAGAACATAGCAGAAAAACTGACATTTTGGTAGACTCAGGTGATTCGATAGAAAGTGAATGAAACTGTCTACCTGTGTGGGCTTTCTGTATACCTTAAATTTGTAGTTTTGGCCATTTCTCATGATAAGCATATCAGAAATGGAAGGGATCCATTTATTTCTCTTTCAATTTTGAATGTAATACTTGGGACAAGATCATTAAGCTTGTCTAAAAATTTCAGTCGTCACTGTTTCTAGGCCAAGACAAAGAACATCATCTACATATCTATACCATTGAGGAACAAAATTTCCTTTTTATTGGTTAGTAGTCTAGCCTAAAAAAATCATATAAATACGAGGCAAAGGAGCAGAAGGACAATTACCCATGCTCATGCCAAATATTTGCTTATAAAACTTCCCATTTGACATGGGTGAAATGGCACCAAATTCAAACCAATTTCTTGATGTTTAAATGTGATCAGACGTTACTGACTGAAATTGACCCCACCAAAAAATACCGGTTGCTGAGAGTTCCTGAAGGTTAAGTGCCAGATATCTGAAGTTATACAGTATTAATCATGAATTATGGAGTTTTGATTGAGTTAAAATTATTTATGAAGTAATTATAAAATTTATGTATGTCGGAGTTATGCAGTTCTGTTTAGACTCATTTGTTGATTAATTCACTCCTTACATTTTCTTCTTTACAACAGTACAAAATCCAGAACCAATGTCTCACTATGAAGGCACTGCTGGATCCTGCAACAAACTGGTGGTAATGTTGACATGCTGGTGGCAGGAGCACACAGGGAACCATAACTGGAATTGCAAGAAAGCTGAAGGAACGGGTGAGTCATATTACAGTAGAACCTCGATAAACTGGACTATTTGGGGCGAACGCAATCTCCCCCAAAAAGCGAATCTATTGGGGTTAGAGATAACACTGCTTATCTGAACTGTTTGAAGAAAAATCAGTTGCTGTTATGTTATTTCTGTGCTTCAACAACTAAGATCTTCAAGTGTATAACAAGGTTATTAAAACACTACTATTCATCACCAATAAAAGAATATGAAACAGAACTCTGGGTTGAAATCAGACATAAGTCTGTGTCAACAACTGTTGTCATTGAGATTATTGGAGGGGACGGTGGTAGATCTGATACCGTTCTTGCCTCATAGCCCAGAGATGTCACAGGTTCGATTCCGGGCGGTGGAAGTTGTTTGGACTTACTTCGAGCCCCCATTAGTCCCTGTTCACCTAGCAGTAAAGTAGGTACCTGTTGTAAGTCGAAGTTCTTGAATTCGTGTTCAGGGGTTGTTGGAAGCTTCAACTTGATGACACATAAACCACTGACTCTTCAGCTTCTACCTTGACTTCAGGCTTCTACTTAACTCATGAGACATAAAGGCAAGCATGAACTTAGCATGCTTCCCTGTTGGTATTAACGCTATCTCGCTTCACCTTACACAAGGATGTGGGGAGTGCCCAATAAAAAAAAAAAAAAAAAAAAATGAGATTATTGTTATTTATTGTAAAGTGTTATATGGAAGTAACCACAGAATTTGTCATATGAATAAATACATATGTAAATACCGTACAAGTACTATAAAGATAAAAATAAGAAGAAATAAGTGTAGGGTATAATGTTTGTGGAAGGCGAGTACGTATATCTCGGCTTATAAGACGAATTTGAACATTAAAAAAATCTGCCCAAAGTTGGGGGTCGTCTTAAGCACCAAGTATAAAAATTTTACTTCTTAAATATTGCGTGTCAAGAGTGGTGATGGAAACATGGTAAACCACTCACAAAGTCCTACCAGGGAAAGTGACCTTGACTATGATCGCCTGTGGCTATTTTTGCCGTCCTTGTGTTGAGGAGGCGGTCAGTAATGCATATATGTATATTTACTGATCATAATACTTATCTCCTATAAATAATTAATTTAAAATTTATTTTTACAAAGAATATTCAGTAAATGACTGCGTTAATTCTTGAAACTACCGACAGTGGTAAATTTAGGATATAAATGATGAACAGTCACGTCATGGATTCGAGTTTGGTCATAATGATCACCTACCAGTTATAATGGTCGCCTCCCATTTTCACCAAAACAAGTATATAAATTAAAGAAAATACTTGCAGTGTGTTTAATGTATTACAGTATATTATATATAAATAAATAAACAAATAAATTGGCAAATCTATTTCAAGTAAATGGAAATATTTTACTCACACCAACATTAGTTCCAATTAAATAACTGCCGCAAGATGAGTCACTAGTATCACAGTGAGAAATTTGATGCCAATACTTGAAGTGAATTGGCATTATTTTAAATAACCAACCATAAATAAATGGAAAAAATCAAAGGTGAAAACATTATATTGTATGTACGTTGTACCCACTTAACGGTCAATTGAACCCAGAGGGTCGGCGTTAAGTGAAATCAGATAAGTGAACAACAGAACATATGGGATTAATTCCAATAGAAACCGGCCCGACCCCAAACTCCACTTTTTGAAGGCACATACCTATGTTGTAGTAAAAATAACATCTTAATTTTATGATGGTACATGCACACAATTAATACTTAGAGAAATAGAAATACAGTCGCCAAGTTAATGTCCATTCAAATAATGGACAACTCTCCCTCTCACACTACACTGGCAGGGAAAACCACTAAATTTTAATAAATAATACCTCAAACTAAAGTTAGATAATACAATTGACATTGCTGGATTCCTTGTAAGACCAGGAATATTTTGAATAAATGTCATATATTTTGCAAAGATAACATAGTTACCTAGAAAAAATTTTATCTAAAATTGTATGTTTAATGCAAAATATATGATGTTTATATTCAAAATGATCACCAAATTATAAGAATTCCAGCAATGTAAATTATATTCTGACCGGGTAATTTGTATGAATTTTATGAGCTAAAACAAATATCTTCAGTTAATAAAAAAAAATAATCTTCATGACACTATCTGTCAATCAAGTACCCCACCTTGCCTCCCCCTCTTCCAACAGCGGTCAGTCCCAACCTCCCCCACCCCCACCAATCCTCCCTCCAGAGTTTTAACATTTAGTATTAAATAATACCTCAGATTAAAGTTAGGATAATATAATTGACATTGCTGGATTCCTTGTAAGACCAGGAATATTTTGAATATAAATGTCATATATTTTGCACAAAAGATAACATAGTTACCTAGAGAAAATTTTTATCTAAAAATTTGTATGTTTAATGCAAAATATATGATGTTTATATTCAAAATGATCACCAAATTATAAGAATTCCAGCAATGTAAATTATATTCTGGCCGAGTAATTTGTATGAATTTTATGAGCTAAACAGGCAGTCAGGCAGGGTGGCGGTGGGGCAAAATCTAAAAATAGCGTCTCGAGCGGGACACTCACGCTTATATGTGGAAAAATCCGTGTTAAGTGAAAGTTCAGTCTCTGGCGAGGCACAGCTATATGATAAAACGTGTTAAGTGACCGCTTAAGGCGGGGGTAATACTGTATGTTGTGTTGTCAAAGGAAGAGAAACAATTGAAACTCTGCAATTGTGTGTAAATGAAGAGCAAAGATAAATCAGCAACCTAACTTGGTCACAATTTTGTGATGCCATATGGCAGTAGGGTCTACCATTAGACAATACTGTACATTATGCTTCAATATCTTCCCAGACAGTAGAATCTCCCTGTTTGGTAGCTGCCTAAAACTTTAAGTTACAGTATATTACTTTGATACAACATGATAAATTAGACAAACAATGAAAATAAACAAACAAAAGAATTATTCACTCAGACCTCTCTGAGAACAGAGGGATGGAGGGAAGGAAGGAGGTTGAGATAAGACCGCTATTTATAGCCTGTCTTTGTGTGGAAGTCGACCACACTAGAAATAATTAATTTTATTATGGTAGGGTTGTGAGGATGTGTGAGTGGTGTGGGAGGTTGTGGTAGTGTTGTGAGGATGTGTGTTGGTGTGGGAGGTTGTGGTAGTGTTGTGAGGATGTGTAATTGGTGTGGGGTTGTGGTAGTGTTGTGAGGATGTGTGAGTGGTGTGGGAGGTTGTGGTAGTGTTGTGAGGATGTGTATTGGTGTGGGGGATTGTGGTAGTGTTGAGGATGTGCAAGTGGTGTGGGGGTTGTGGTAGTGTTGTGAGGATGTGTGGTGGTGTGGGGGTTGTGGTAGTGTTGTGAGGATGTGTGGTGGTGTGGGGGTTGTGGTAGTGTTGTGAGGATTCTGTATGAGTAGTGTGGGGGCTTTGTGGTACAATTGTGAGGATGTGTGAGTGGTGTGGGGGTTGTGGTAGTGTTGTGAGGATGCTGTATGAGTAGTGTGGGGGCTTTGTGTGGTACAGTTGTGAGGATGTGTGGTGTGGGGGTTTGTGAGTGGTGTCTGGATGCTGTAAGAGTAGTGTGGGGGTTTTGTGTACAGTTGTGAGGATGTGTGAGTGGTGTGGGGGTTGTGGGAGTGAGTCATAACCACACACCACCCTCAACACACTACCTCTCCTGCATCACCATCCAACACTACCAACGTCCAACACACCTGGTCACCTCTACATTATTAACACCTATACTGAAGTTGATTGGGATCAGGTGCTGTGTACATCGATGTATTTCTGCCCTGACACTGAATACGTCATCAACCTCTAGGGTCCAGGATAATATTAAGCCCTGGCACGTGACTCCTCTCTCTTAAAGTGCATTAAGGTGATTGAATTTGGTGTCATCTAATCCCTAACTTCATAATGGAGTTGTCAAGGCTTCACTGTAATTACAATCTCCAGTTTTTAGTTTCGTTTATTCAACTGGTATTATATCTACAAGAGTTATTTAACCAGACGTGGACATTTATTTTGTAAAATCATATGTAGTATGAAATACAATATTTCAGTATATGAGTGTCATGTTGAGATGGGAGTGGTGACATTAGTGGGGCAGCTAAATGCAATTTTCAAAGAATCATGAAATGGTGGTACAAGCACCAAATTTGGCATGGTAATTCTCTAATGGTTACTAGTCAAGTCTGCCTGATTGACCATTTAAAAATCAAGATGGCGACCATTTTTCAAGATGACCGCCATATTGACCTTCAAAAGTTGATTTTTCTTATAGAAATTGATGTAGTTGGTCAATCTGGGTGATCTTGGTGTCGATATGTAATAATAATAATAATAATAACGGTTTATTGAAAAGTTCTGCAGCCGAAGCTGAAAATATACATTGGACATAAATGACTTATTACATACATTGGTGGTTTAACAAAAGCCTTCATTAGAGATAGGCAAAGACATACAGTGAACATTCAGATTAATGTAGGTGTTGAACAGCAAACACGTAGTGTAGTAGCTCTCCCAGATGGTGTAGGAGGGACCTATGTGGTGTAGTAATTCCCTCAGAGATGGTGTTATGAGGGGCCTCCGTGTAGTACTTCCTCACAGATGGTGTTATGAGGGGCCCTCCGTGGTGTAGTAATTCCCTCACAGATGGTGTTATGAGGGACCTCACGTGTGTAGTAATTCCCTCACAGATGGTGTTATGAGGGCATCACGTGGTGTAGTAATTCCCTCACAGATGGTGTTATGAGGACCTGGCGTGGTGTAGTAATTCCCTCACAGATGGTGTTATATGAGTGAGGTGTGGCCCCAGGCCTTCCTATCCGTGAAGCGGATTAACACATCACTGGTTGTTTGGTCTCACGGGCGTTATCACTGGGTACCTGGGACCTCACTGTGAAAGGTTAACTTAGTACGACTGTTACTGTTGAGTTGTTCTCACTGACTTAAGCACTGTTCACGTATGTTCCTCTGTTTAACACTGGTTCCATTCCTTTCCTAAATGAAATTGTAACTTCTGGCGAGAATTGTTGATATTCCGGTGGGAGAAGTGGTTCAGGGGGGGGTTGGTATGGGCCAACTAACAGTTGACCTGGCTGCTGAGAGGGCGCCAAATCTTGACCCTTCGGTGGTCAAGGATGTAGTGTAGTGTATGTTTTCAAGCATGCTCAGTTGATTTTTTATAGTTTAAGTCCATTGTAACATTTTTATCCACATAAAATAACACTTTTAGTAAAAAATATAAAAGAACTTACTAAAAAAAAGCACGGTAAACAGTGGAACACAGTCCCACACCGATAAATCTCGTGTGAAGCAAGCATATAAATTAAAGAAAATACTTGCAGTGTGTTTAATATGTTACAGTATATTATAAATAAATAAATAAACAAATAAATCGGTACTCCATTTCAAGTAAATGGAAAAATTTTACTCGACACGACATTAGTTCAGTTACCGGTAAATAGCGACGCTTCAGTGGCGTCACTAGTGTTTACACTACACCAGCGGTAACATTTGATGACATTACTTGAAGTGAATTGGCCTTATTTTAAAAAACCAAGGATGGTTGGTAGAGGACTACTGGCCAGTGGGTAGTGTCACATTTGGGGTACTGGTCTTATACAGCGAATAGAGCTCAAAAGCTACTTTTTAAATGGAAATTTGGGGCCGTCTTATACCCCGCCTTATAGGCCGAGATATTACGGTATATCTGGGCAGCAGGCTGAGCAAAGTGGTAGAGGATAAAAAAAAAAAAAATTATAATTTGACATCAAAATTACATCACAGCCAAATCAGAAAATAATCTTTTCCCCAAACCTCTCTCTGCTGGGAGGGTGGTGGGTAAGCTTAGCCGCCATTACCAAGTTTTTCCCATTTTTATTTATTCTTTCAGTACAGATACATTATAAAATAAATATTGTATTGTACAGTATTACCCGCTTACGAGGTTTCACTTAGCCCGTTTTACCGTATCTGTGAGTGCCTCGCCAAGCTGAACTTTCATAGCGGGTTTTTTCCACGTATCTGTGAGTGTCATCTCGAGAGCTATTTTAGTTCGCCCCGCCACCTGCCTGACTGCCTGTTTAGCTCAAAATTCACCAAATTACCCAGCCAGAATATAATTTACATTGCTGGAATTACAATGTGATGATCATTTGAATATAAACATCATAGATTTTGCATTAGACATACAAATTTTAGATATAATGTTTACTCTGAGTAAATATGTTATTTTTGTGCAAAATATATGACATTTGTATTAAATATTCCTGAGCTTACAAGGAATCCAGCAATGTCAATTATATTATCCTAACTTTAGTTTGAGGTATTATTTATTACTAAAAGGTAAATATTCTGGTTTTCCCACACATCTGGTGGGACAGTTGGTGGGGGAGGGAGGACCGACCGCCATCTGTTCCCTGTGAAGAATATTTTTTTTATTAACTGAAGATATTTGTTTTAGCTCATAAAATTCATACAAATTACCTGGTCAGAATATAATTTACATTGCTGAATTCTTATAATTTGATGATCATTTTGAATATAAACATCATAGATTTTGCATTAGACATACAAATTTTAGATGTAATGTTTACTCTGAGTAAATATGTTATTTTTGTGCAAAATATATACATTTGTATTTCCTGGGCTTACAAGGAATCCAGCAATGTCAATTATATTATCCTAACTTTAGTTTGAGGTATTATTTATTACTAAAAAGGTAAATATTCTGGTTTTCCCACACATCTGGTGGGACGGTTGGTGGGGTGGGGGGAGGAGGAACCGACCGACCATCTGTTACCCTGTGAAGAATATATTTTTTTTTATTAACTGAAGATATTTGTTTTAGCTCATAAAATTCATACAAATTACCCGGTCAGAATATAATTTACATTGCTGGAATTCTTATAATTTGATGATCATTTTGAATATAAACATCATAGATTTTGCATTAGACATACAAATTTTAGATGTAATGTTTACTCTGAGTAAATATGTTATTTTTGTGCAAAATATATGACATTTGTATTTCCTGGGCTTACAGGAATCCAGCAATGTCAATTATATTATCCTAACTTTAGTTTGAGGTATTATTTATTACTAAAAGGTAAATATTCTGGTTTTCCCACACATCTGGTGGGACGGTTGGTGGGGGTGGGGAGGGAGGACCGAACCGACCATCTGTTACCCTGTGAAGAATATATTTTTTTTTATTAACTGAAGATATTTGTTTTAGCTCATAAAATTCATACAAATTACCGGTCAGAATATAATTTACATTGCTGGAATTTTATAATTTGATGATCATTTTGAATATAAACATCATAGATTTTGCATTAGACATACAAATTTTAGATGTAATGTTTACTCTGAGTAAATATGTTATCTTTTGTGCAAAATATATGACATTTAGATTCAAAATATTCCTGGTTTACAAGGAATCCAGCAATGTCAATTGTATTATCCTAACTTTAGTTTGAGGTATTATTTATTAAAATTTAGTGGTTTCCAAAAATTCTCAGAGAGGGACGAGCCAGCAGTGTAGTGTGAGAAGAGGGGAGGAGTTGAGTCCATTATTTGAATGGACATTAACTTGCGCACTGTATTTCTATTTCTCTTAAGTATTAATTGTGTGCATGTACCATCATGAAATTAAGATGTTATTTTACTAGAACATAGGTATTGTGTTGGAAAAAGTGGAGTTTGGGGATGGGCCAGTTTCTATTGGAATTAATCCCATATGTTCTGTTGTTCACTTAGCTGTTTTCACTTAACACAGTACCCTGTGGGTTTTATTGACCGCGTAAGCGGGTACTACTGTATATGAAGGCTACAAATTATTACAGTAACATATCTTTACCAGTTAATACATAACAAATAAACAATATTGTGTCGAAGTTACCTACTAGTAGGTAGTAAGCAGCTACCAAACAGGGAGGTACTAACGCCTGGGAAGATATTGGAAGCACAATGTGTTGTCTAATAGTAGACCCTGCTGCAATATGGCATCACAAAAATTGTGACCAAGTCCCAGGTTACTGATCTGACTGCTAATTAAAACTGCTAATTGTAAGAGCATGCTGTTTATCGAAGCAAAAATATGAGTTGAAAAACAACCATAACGCTTACAGATTGGCCCAGCAGATGATGCAGACTGGGTCCATTTTGCAGCGGGGAGTAAACACCAGATAATGATTGAGATAAAGAGACCGATAGGAATTTGCCAGGGTTTGCGAGGGTTTACTGTATTCTTAAGACTGTAATTACATTATTATTATTATTACTTTATTATTATTTATATAACATTGTTATTATTACAGGTATTATTATTGTTATTATTATTACAGTATTATTATTATTGTGATTATTATTATTTTTGTTTTTTTGTGATGGAGGGTGCGGAAGGGGTTTTGAGAATTGCAATTAAATGCCAGGTAGTGAGCGGTCCTCCTAATATTACGATTATAATTATGAGATGTTTTAATTGCCTGTATGTTGGCCTGGCAAGTTTTGCTAGGCATTAACATACGAGGTATAAAGCTAGATGTCGCACTCTGGGCTATATATCAAAAAACTGTTTTTTAGAAAAAACTGCTTCTTTTCAAGCACCTGAAGGTAATGTTGTGTGTTTTCCATAGATTCCTGACTGTAAAGTTGTTGGTGTGGACCCAGAAGGCTCGATATTAGCATTGCCTGAAGAGCTTAACAAAAATGAGGTCTCTGGATATGAAGTTGAAGGGATTGGGTATGACTTCATCCCTAATGTCCTGTAAGTATATACTACCAAGTTTGAGTAACTGTTTCATTGCTGTGAAGATTTTTAAATATATTCAGTATCATACTTTAGTCTCGGAAAATTTGTGAGAGGGATTCCTTAAAATGCATCAATAATTATCTCCATTCTTTTTAAAGTTCTATAGAGTGGCTTCATTTTTAGAAAATTTATAATAGTATAAAATACGTAAGTATTTACAAAATGGTGAGCTCCAGCTAACGAACTTGAGCTTAGTCAAATACAGTCAACCCTCACTTTTACGCTGTTAATTCAACCCACAGGGTACCAGGAAAGTGAGAAACGCAGAAAGTGAACATAACATATGGGATTAATTGAAATAGAGACCGGGCCTAATCCCCAAACCCACTTTGATGACACAACTATGTTGTAGTAAAGATATTATCTTAACTTTATGATGGTATGCACACAATTAATAATTAAAGAGAAATATCAATAATATTAGTTTTTTAACACTTACATTAGTAGAAAGATGGCTGGGCACACGATGGGGGTTGGTTCCGAGGCAGAGGGCAGATATTGGCCCTCACCTGTATCACTTGTATCAATTGTATCACTATCCACCACAGAGGCTTGCAGGGCCTCTTTGTCAAACCCCTCAAAGTCCATATAAGTCCATATCCTCACTATAATTATCACTATCACTGACTTGGGCCGCTGTGGTGGGTGGCGGGTGAAGAACTCAGTAATGTTTTTGATGACTGCACCGTGGGGCACCCTGCTCGCACTTACTTACACAAATATGGCGGATGGCCGAGAGATGGCGGAGGTTTGGATCCAAAATGGCGCGTTTCGCCAGCCGCCTCCGCGTAAAGGGACACGACCGTGAATGAGCATTCCTGTTTCTGCAGGGTACCGCAGAACGTGGAAACGCGGTATGTGGGACCGCGCAGGAGGGTTGACTGTATGTCAGAAATTTATGCCAATTATGCTTATGGTGAAACAGCATATGTCCCAAATTTCTCATTACATGTAATGGCATATGGATGAAAATGAGATCATGGGGTACATGACTGATCAAGACATGGTTGATGCTCGATTCTTTACAAGATTAATCAATGGTTTTCAAATACAGTGGTCCTCGTTAACGAACACAATTAGCCTCCAGAAGGTCGTTTGTTAACCAAAAATTTCATTAACCGAATCCATTGTTTCAATGGGATATTAAAATTGGTTCCAGCTCACCGAAAAGTACATACAAAGTAAAAAAATGCAGCAAAGTACACTTACTTTGAGGTGTGGTAGAAGGTCTGGTTGATGATGATGATGGGAATTAGAAGTGGGGGTGAAAGAGAAGGAGAAGAGAAGGAAGGGGGATGGAGGAAAATCACCTTTCAGGGGACCATGCATGATACAGTCATTTCACCAATAAAATTTTAAGTTCACTAGGTGTAATTCAAGATTATTTTCTTTAAATCAGCACTGCACCGCGCTATATATTGTCAATATGTTAAATTAATTTCAGAATGACCAATAATTATACTGTAAAACATAAAATACTCTGTGCTCAAGAGACCCCAAGCAAGATGTTTCTTCCAACGAACAGAAACACAAACTGAGCCTTGGTGGGTGAGTGAAGTGGCTGATGAGCGCAACCCAAAACTAGTTCCCTGTACTGTAATTATGTTAAATAGGTGTTAAAATGACTAATAATTTTAATATAAAACTTGGAAAAATATTGAATAACACAACCTTCTTGATATTTACTCCAATGGAAACGAATATGTGCCCTAGAACCGAATACTGTATTGGCGGACTTATCTTCCAGCTGGTGAGCAAGCCAAACATGTTGACATTTTTAGTAAGAATTTCGTGAAACCAATTTTTGTTCGTTAACCTGAAATGAAGATTCTTATGGAAGGTGATTCGTTCACCAAATTTCATTAACCGAGGCGTTTTAACCGAGAGGGACCACTCTAATGACATGGACTGTGACGTTGACATTTGGGAAAACTGATCTGCCTGAGCATGTGAAGTTGGAATTTGAGAGGGTTATTGTCCGACCCCACATTCCCTACCCCATATGTTGCACAAGTGTCAGGAATATAGACACAGTGCAGAGAACTGCAAGAACACTGCAATTTGTCTGTGCTGTGCCTGTGTTGATGAATAAAAGAGGGAGTGCTTCTGATTGGAAATGCAAGGTCTGGTAGAAAGAAGATGAGCTCTGCAATATTGTGACACTTTAAAAGCTGAGCTACAAGAATGCAGAAGAGATGATGGAAGAGGCATCACACACTATGTGGACGAAGTGATGGTCTCAAGAGTAGAAATTGTGTTAAATTGCTCCTACAGGCAGCAACATGTACGTAAGTCCCATATGAGCCATATTTGTGCAAAGGCCCTTCGCTGTGGACTTCAATGCTCACCACCACACATGTAGCTTATTTAATTTTACATTACACATTTTCTACAGAATGATAGTGTGACTTGAATGAATGACTGAAATGGCACTCCCTCATTTATAGACTTGCCTACAGTCAATGGGGCCCTATACTTAGACTTGATTGGGGAAATTAATGACGTTTCTTAGGAAGTGACCATTTACCATTTTGCATTTCCAACATGATAGATGGCAGGGGACCAGAGGGGGTGTCCTGAGTCCCTGCACTCCCACCCCCTTTCACGAGAAAATTCAATACTTTTTTCTTAATGCAGTATTGTACTTAGGCATTTTTGTACTGTATAGTAAAGAGTATTTACTTTTGACATCAAAATATCTCCTAATATCAAGTGCACATGGCTTCAAATGGCCTCAAATGCCCATGATATTGGTCAGATCTAAAGAACAACAATTTTGGGGCTTGCAGCCCCCCCCACCTTCGTCATGTTTCCCCACCCACAACTTCTTCAACCCCACCCCTCTTTTTGATATTCCTGGAGCTGCCCTGACTGGATGCAACTCCAGAAAGTCAATTCAGCTAGGAAATAATATTGGATTATTTACAAGAGATGCCATGAATCACTACTGTATATCTCTATAAGGCGCCGGGTGCATAAGACGCCCCCAAATT